GGTGGGGAACTCGCCGACCGCCAAGGCAAGCGTCGCAGGTTCAAATCCAGCAAATCACAGTCACTTGAAGTGTCAAGTTTTGATGGGTCACAATCACAACAGTATCTATCCCGTTCTAGGACCGCCCAGTGGGAGGCGTCCGCAGGTAAAAACACTTAAGGAGTGACAAGGATTTAAAAATCACAAATCGTAGCCAATCACAGAATTTAGGGTACGGAATTATTAATAAATTCGACACACGTCCGCTCTGAGCTGCGTTTGGCGACCGAACCCTAAAAAATGTGGAACGCTTCACGATTTTGCGTGTCATCCTTGCGCAGGGGCCATGCTAATCTTCTCTGTATCGTTCCAATTTTAGTAGGTATATGTATACTGCCGAAGCAAGTACAAGTATTACACTTAGGTGCAAGTGTAACAAGTCATAAGTCATAGTCCCTAAGAACAAATATGGCCACACGTCACGTCGGACGTCAGCTCGCGGATACAAACAAGTAGGTAGTGCCTTCTTAGATACCAACATACCTATTTATTGTTCATAAATGCTTGCGTACAACCTTATTACTATTCAATATGACATTATTTCAAAAAATACTGCGAAAAAAGGAAAATGGAAACAATGTACTAGCGCACTTGTCACCGATTTGTCGCAAACTTAATTGCTTTGTTGCAGGATTTTTTATTGATTTTGTTGTTTATAACATCTTTGACAATCATGTTTTCTTCTATAAGGAATGCGTTTAAGATGTGCAAATCTACGTTTAAAAATATAACGCCGTTGGCGATTCCCGTGAGACATTACGATATTCCAGAACGGCTGCAGGAGGTGGCTTGCGAGCCCAACCCTAGCTTCTTTAGAATGGTGGAGTACTTCTACCACAACGCAGTGCGCGTGTGCGAGCCCGCGCTCTACGAGTACCTAACAAAGCACACGCACTTGTCCGAGAGGAAGAGGAAGCAGAGAGTGGCAGGCATCCTGAAAGTAAGCTTACCTTGTCAAAAAAAGTCAAAAGTCAAAAATCATTTATTCCAATTAGACCTATACCTACAGGCACTATTGAACGTCAAACAAAAATTTTGAAGATATAGTGTCAGTCTGTCGGTCAGTCCTCTTAGTGAAGCTATTTGCTCGTTCCAAAGTGTAGATTCCGATGGAGAAGAACGAGCAAGAAACTCCATGGTTACTCTTTTTAAATCAGTTTCACATACAGATTCTTTATACAAACAGTTGGTTCAATTATGTGAGAACAGTGTAACACTAATATTTATTCAAATTAGACAGTCTGGAGCTGACCAGTCCCAACTGACGGCGCCCGTTCACGAACATGACACGTACACCAGCATCGCCCAACTCAACCATATTATAGGGAATTAAGCGATCCAGCGCCCATGCCACCGCCAGTGTGACCTTTCAGTGAGCATGACAACTCCAAGCTGTTACAAGGACCGACATTCTGCTAGTCTAAACAATTGTAATAGGTTACAGGGCACTCACATTTACAAAAACTTGGCTTCGTTTATTATTGTCATACCAATGGTGATAGTAAATTAGATAGAAAGATTAGATACATTTATTCAGCACAAACAATAAAGACACAAATTAATTGAATTGACTCTTGAAGTTAGATACAAACAGTAATGTGTATGGATAGGCGAGCACTTGTTCCTGATTGCTACGAATTAAGCATTGTTTGATGTCTAGGTGATGGGCTCTTGCAACAGCTGCCTTCAGATGGAGTTTCCCCTGCAGCGTAAGAATGGCGATTACGAAATTGTACAAGCGTACCGTGTCCAACACAGTGTCCACCGTCTGCCGTGCAAAGGAGGTAAGCATCGACATCTTATAACAGACACGGCATTGAGGGAAGAGACTTTCCGGCGACACATACTAACCTGTCTCCTAGAGGTGGCGCTCGCGCGCGTCTTCAGTTTGTGCGACACCGGGGCGAAACTCCACCGCCGCGCCAAGTTAGTGCGTGGCTTCAGCACCATCTGATGGCGAAGTGGAAACAACGTCTGACGCAACCGAGGGCCGGGCATAAGCCGTTGTTGTAGCAGCGGTAAAACCCTATTTGAGGAGTGGTTAGAGAGACGCCATGGCGTCTTCTCCTTTCGCCTGACGCAGGACCTTACAGGACACGAAAGCATCTGTAGGTTTCTCTTTTGGATCCGATGAGAGGAAACGCCCCGGTGCCGTCATTGTAAGGACCAACTGGACACGATGGAGTAAACGGTGGCGGATTGCCCTTTGTGGGCTTCGTACCGTCTTGTCCTTGGGGTCTTCCGGAGAGTGCCGGTTACATATCGATCGCGTAATAACGTGTTTACAGAAGAAAACGCTACTACCTACCTATGAGGACACGTCTTAAAAAACCATTGACAATTTGCAAAACCAGTTTTTCATTGTGAATAATCCTCGACTATTATACTTACTCCAAATTAAATATTATAAAATAGAATATTCAATATTCTCACGTACCTACTTCTAACCAGACTTCTCTGCCCAGGAATCAGATTCTCTACCGAGGTGAACTTGGATGAAGTGAAAGCTCTCGCATCATTGATGACTTTCAAATGTGCCTGCTCTAACATTCCTTTTGGTGGCTCTAAAGGAGGTGAGATAATATAATTATAAACCTTTACCATAACTCATTTATTATAATAAGTATTTAGTTTTACTGAAATAAAAACCTAAAACTTAAGTTTAAATTCACTTGATATTTCCAGGTGTTACCATCAACCCAAAAAAGTATACGGTGGCAGAACTACAACGAATCACAAGACGATACACATTGGAACTTGCTAAAAAGAACTATATTGGTATAGAAAGACACTTATACTCATGGTTGTCGAGTTTAGTGAAAATGTGACCTCATTGTAATCAAAATAGGAGCTTAATTTTAATGTTTGTTATAAAGGTGCCGGCATCGATGTACCGGCTCCCGATATGAATACTTCTGGCAGGGAGATGTCTTGGATTGTTGACACCTACATCAAAACTTTAGGTAAGGAAAAAATGTGTTAATGTTTTCGTAAATATATTTTTCCAAGTTTCTTAGTAAATAACCTGTGATAAGTAGGTAACTGAATAACTAGGTAACTGCAAGAGGTTCTGGAACCCAGCACTTTAGACAATAATAACTAACATGGGTAAATAAATGGTCTCATTGGCGGTGGCACGGGCACTGGATCGCCCAATTCCCTATAATATGGTTGAGTTGGGTGGTGCTGGTGTATGTGTCATGTTCGTGAACGGGCGCCGCCTATTGGGACTGGTCATCTCCAGGCTGTCTAAATATGTTGTCCTTGAGGTTCACCTCTTTTTCGTACTTTTTGCCTGAACATTAGTGTTACATTGTTCTCACATATCAGAACCGACTAAATGATGTAACAAAGAAATGTATTGTAAAACTGATTGAAAAAGAGTAACCATGGAGTTTCTTGCTCGTTCTTCTCCATAGGAATCTACACTTTGGAACGAGCAAATAGCTTCACTAGAGGACAGACGGACAGACTGACACGCTTAATTTTAAAGCTCATGTTATATACTTTTTTCCTTTTTTGCTTGCTTGACGTTCAAAAGTGCCTACTGTGGTCTAATTGAAATAAATGATTTTTGACTTTTGACTTTTGGTCCCATATTTGCCAGGCTACTCAGATTTGAATGCGGCTGCGTGTGTGACTGGCAAGCCAATCAATGGCGGCGGCATCAACGGGCGAGTAGAAGCCACAGGGCGAGGAGTGTTCATGACCATAAACTACTATATCCACGATCCACACTTCATGCAGCTGATCGGACTGCAACCTGGATTCAAGGTAACCTTCGGTGTTGCTCTTGGTTGTTAAATCTATGTAACTATTTTTCTATCCTGGAAACACACCCACGAAAGTGGATGATAAACTTAAAGGAGCCTCCCTATCCCTACTTTCCCTACCTGACTTGGGATCACAGTCAGTGTACAATTTCCATACGAATCTTTCTTAATTAGTAAATCCTTTAACTACATAGATACTTTTAGGTGAGTATTTATATACACTAATAACGACACTACTCAATCAGTACACAAGGTTAGTCAGCTATGTCTCTCCCCCGGTCCCTCTAGTGCGTCTTGTTAAAGTCAAAGAGCCATCAGACCACCACCAGATGGAGCCCGCGGATGCAGATGCAAGTCAGCACAATGATGTACCGCGACCCGACTTAGCGCAGGAGGAGGAACAGGGTGACTCGAAGTGGAGGTCAACAAGTCCGAGGCTATGTGCTTTCATGGCTGTCGGAACGCGCCATCTCCGGATGGGACCCAAAAAACGGCGGGAGGGGTTACCATCGGTGTCGTCGGCGATGAAGTATCTGGGTCTCGTCCTCGACAGCCACTAGAACTTCCGACACTGGTTTTGGATTGGAACAGACCGGGGCCAAACAGAAGGGCGGCGGACTTGAAGCGGCGGCCAGCTCGTGCGGTTTTCGCGTCCCGCGGACATACAGATAATCCGCGGCTATCGCACGATCTCCTGGGTGGCGGCGAACCACGTTGCGGATCACCGCCGTGTGAGCTGGAAGCGAAGGTGCTCGCGCGTCTACAGTTTGCGCACAATTTGTTGCCGGGGCGAGGATCTTTGAATTAGTGCATGGTGGATCTCATGGCAGAGTGGAAGCAACGACTGTCGCAACTGAGGGCTGGGCACGCTGTTATGGCAGCGTAAGACCCCTCTTTGATGAGTGGCTAGAGAGACGTCATGGCTTCCTCACCTTCCGCCTGACGCAGGTGCTTACCGGGTACGGCAGCTTCGGTAGGTTTCTGTTTCGATTCCGGTGGGAAAACCCGTTCAAGTGTCGTCATTGTGTTGACCACCCAGAGGACAGGGTGGAGAATGAGCATGGTGGCGGGGTGTCCTGCTTGGGAGGAAGTGATCGGCGGCCGGCCTCTCGCACTCGGCCTTAGTCGAGGCCATGGTGCAAAAATAAGGGGAACTGGGAAGCCGTCTGCTCTTTCTGCAAAGCAGTTATGTTCGCAAAGAAGAAGGCGGAGCGCGTGAGGGAGTTATCCTCCTCCTCACGCCCCGGAACGGGGAGTTTTTAGTCAGTAAGAGTCCTAAAGCATCCTGCCCGACCCTGGGTAGGAGAAGTCATGATGATTGGCCCCCTTACAAAAAAAAGGATGCGAGGAATCATTGCATGATTTTCTTCACTGTAAAACCTACGTGGCTCTGTTATTACTTACATTAGTTCATTATATTAGCTACATTAGCAAATCATACATTCGGCAGGGCAAAACAGCGATCATCCAGGGATTCGGTAACGTGGGCAGTTATGCAGCCATATTCCTCGCTGAGCGTGGAGTAAAGATCATTGGTGTCTGTGAGCATGACGCTTTCCTGTCGGCCCCCGAGGGCCTCAACCCAGCAGTGAGTTCAAATTCCACTTAGCTTCATAGTTTATTTAGTCAATTTAATTAGAACAGAGATACCTGCATGTAGCGTTCAGGTACCAATGACATGGTCGGTAGGTACCAAATTGAGTGTCATAAGACTTAGACGCCGATGGAGATTAGGTAAAAAGACATCTAGAACTAGGATTACAATTTACTTATAATTAAAATGTGGTTAAATCGCTAGACTAGTTCATAAATCTTAACATCGGAATAATGGGAAGATACCGATGTCCACTTGGGGTTGGAGTAGCGGGGAATACCAGTCCGCTTGTGACTAGTAGGATAAGTGGTGTTCTCGAATGAAGGATGTTGCTGCCCTATGATTTTCTATAGAGTAAGACGTCGTTGGTTGGTACCGATGCCCTCATTTATTTCAACATTCTCACAAGTTATTTAAAATATAAATGCAATACCTACTGATATGTTATTATAATTGTGTTCAACAATAAGTTTTCGGTTCTGGTCGAATAAAGGCTACGCTGCATTTGACAAAAGCAGTGTCAGTTACCAAATTAAGTCAAGCGCTACCATATTATATTCATTGACGACTGCACTTAAGTTTTCCACACCAGGATTTGATGAAATACATGATCAAAAACAAGAGAAGCGCCAAAGGATATCCGGGCGCCAAGGAGGCTTCACCTGAACTTTTGTATACGAAATGTGACATTCTTGTGGCCGCTGCAAAAGAGAAAACTATTACCGCTGATAATGCACCTAAGATTCAAACTAAGGTAAGCACGTAGATGTACTTAGATAAATGATGAAAATTAACAAGTAGTAGGTATTACTCAAGTAGACAAACTCCAGACTTCTAGATCTTCTTTGGTAGCTACTGAATATTTGGTTCTTTGAACAGGAGCAATTAAGTTGAGGCAACTTTTTAGTGGTCCTGTAAAAAGTTTATACGCAGTTGCTATAACGTCTATGGTTGCTGCAATATTTTGGCAATATGTGAGGAACTTATAGCAGAGTTGCTTCTACGCAGCGGACTAATTATGATGAGTTGAATCGTAGTCTCGAGTTGCAGTTAGCCAATTAAAAATATGTTAACACCACAGCCAGTTGCCACTGCCAGTTGCTCCATGTAAAAAACGCCTAAAAATACATGGAAAATATGGGAATAATTCTAAAACAGCTGACAAGCGTAAGCTGGTTTTGAAAAATTTAGATGGAATATGTTTGAAAACAAAGAAGGAAATAATCAAATTTGGTTGTCGAGCAGATCATAGCTGAAGGTGCGAACGGGCCGACAGTACCGGCGGCTGATGAAATATTGCGACAGAAGAAGGTCCTGGTGATACCAGACCTGCTGTGCAACGCCGGAGGGGTCTCCGTCTCTTACTTTGAATATCTGAAAAACCTTAACCACGTCAGTTTCGGCAAGCTGAGCATTAAGTTCTGGAGGGATTCAAACACGGCACTTTTAGGTGACTTCTAATATTTTTCTGAGTAATTTAATATCTATTATCTAGTAGTTTCGACTTTACCATTATTATCAATAAATTTGACTGGACTTATTAAGTAAATAAAGAAGTTAGAAAGAAGAGAGAAGGTACGCGTGTAGGTACCTATTAGATGGTAGGTACGTATCAAGTCCATTCATTATTTTATGGCTATTCAGTTATTTGACTAAAAGTAATGAATCTAAAATGATTTTGTATTAGATTCTGTGGAGAAATCTCTAAAGGGAGCGAAAATAGATGCCAAAGTGTCTCCGACGCCAGCTTTCGCGTCAATGATGTCCGGCGCGAGTGAGAAACACATCGTGGGCACCGGTCTCGAGTTCTCCATGACCAATGCTTGTGCGGTAAATAAAGGACATTTTAAAACATTATTCCTTTCTTAATTTGTAAGTGTTTGTCTCTAACTAGGTAATAATTATAACCTTTTTCAGAACGTGGCTGCCGCAGCTAAAACCCACAATCTCGGCGTAGACTTACGAACCGCAGCGTACGTTACGGCCATAGAGAAAATATTCGCGACATACGATGAGCACGGCTTAGCTTTTTAACAATATTTTCTAGCCACGCTTATGAAATATAAACGGATTAAATATAGGCCAGGGACGACTACTTGGGCTACGGTAGCGGGTCGATCGACTGAGGCTAGCGATCTATTTGCATCATATTAGTGAAGAAAGGAAAACTGACTGGGATTACGGTACTTTTGGGATGGTGGGGCGACGCGCATTTCTGGTGCGAGTCTTCGAGTGCAGATACTAATTCAGGGTGAATTTCAGACCGCTGTCTAACCTAGTAGGTACCGTATGTATGTGCATGAACAAATTACAAGTAAGTACAGTGTTTATCCAGTTTTGTTAACATAGACACAAGACCAGGATAAACTAAAAGAAAGTCAAGTTAAGCATGAATAATGTGATTTGCCACCTGTACACCAAGTAAAACATGATATTGTTGGTGGAACAGGATTACCCCTTGAAATAAAAAACAAACATTGTTTTTTCGATTCGCGGTCAAACGTTATCAGATTTGGCTTGACATTTTGATGGTTTTGAACGTGTTGCTTAAGCCGGTTCGAGGTTCCACTTGCCCCGTCTTTTACTCTACATTTCTTTGCACATACATATATTGTACCAAGGGTGATAATATATACAATTTTCATACTTAAATAGCTAGCCAGTTATTTCAGGTCTTAAATATGATCTTTTTTTAAAGATTAATAGATTTGAAATATTCGAGTTACGGAACTTAGGCACATGTATGCAGTAAAATATAACACTGCATTCATGATAATATATAGCCATCATAGTACCACGGGACAGCTAACTTTGTATGAAGATGTGAGCAAATAATGTAGGTTGAAATAGGATTTTGGTTCTGTGAATGAACCTACTTTATTTGGCCCAATCCCTAACTATGATACCAGGTTATACATATGAAGACTGACTTCACTAGCGAGCACTCCTTGCCCCACCTTGACAAAATAAAACGTAGCATTCTTGTACATCTTATAATCTTCGGCAGATCCAGAAATATTTTCCATATAATGTATACTCTCACAAAATTGGTGACAAGTGACTGTTTTTTTTTATTGCTATTTCTTGCTAATGATTATTTCTTGTAATGATTATTTGTTGCTATGGTTGTTTCTTGCTATAGTTTTTCTTGATAATGATTATTTCTTGTTAATTATTTATAACTGAGCTACAGTGATTTTAAGCGATTATTTACTTTTATTAATATTGTTAACTGGGACTTGACAGGTAGCCACGATTTTATTTTTAAGATTTTTTTAATAAAAAGATTTATTTTTAATTTTATTTTGGTTTTTTATTTGGAAAAATATATTACATTTTTTTAAGTTATAATAATGATCACTATATGAATATAAATATAAATTATAACTATATGAATATCAAATTATTATAACGGAATGAATAATTGGGACAAAAAGACATTTGGAACTATTTTCTTGGTGGTATGAGGTCTAGTGTGATGCTCTAAAATAGTTTCGACATAAAACAGCATTTCGAAAGACTTCTTGGAACCCTTCTGTAGAGGTGACTTAAAACTGAAATTCAGTGATTTTAAACCTACATGTCTTTAGTAGTAAAATTACTGTTTTTTTAAACTTCACTTCCAACGTCACAGTCAAATAACGCCAATTTGATAAGTATTTTAATAACGTAAAGTAACTTCAAACAACTTAATAAGACGTAAACGATTACTGCCGTAAAACGGGGTAAATAGATACACGAAAAGGGTAAATAGATATTGGCAATTTTTTCCGGTATCTATTTACCCCGTTTTACAATTATTATTATTTATAACCTGGCGTGTTCTCGATTTTGTTTGTACCACGCGACTGTATCATGTATGGCAGTTTCGAACGGTGTGAACTTGAAGTCTTTGTATAAACTCCTGAGTTTCTTGTTCGAAGCAGTCTTTTTGTACTGGCCGTCTGCCTTTGTAACGTCGTAAACAATTTCGCCGGAGAACCCGTGAGCTTTCTTTATCATCTCTGCTACTGTACTTATTGGGACCTCATCTTCCTCATCAACTGTAATAAAAGATGTTTAATGTATAGTCAGAATTTTAATTCGATTCCTGATTTGACATGACCTACTGTCATTTTGTGAAATAATGATACCACATATAACAGTGTAGTGATGAACACAAAACTCGATAAACAATCAGTGAATCAGTTTCAGGAAGGCATTCAAAATATTACGGCTACCGAATGGTCTAAATGCGTATCCCATGTTGTCAAAGAAGAGGAAAAAATGAGTAAGCTAGATATGATAAAAATCACAGACACAATTCATAATAAATGTTATAGAAAGTAACAGCGATAGCGATGACAGCGACAATTTATAAAATTTCTGTTTTATCATGTGTATCTGTCATGTTCCTTCATGATCACATTATTTATTAATTTAACACACAATTACAAAAGAAAAGTATCAGATCGTTAATTAATTGTCAAAACTTAATTATTGGTTCAGAAATATTTTATTTCTTGATAAACTTAGTGTACGAGAGTAAACTTATAAGCGAGAGGAAACGATTCAGAAATAATCGATTTTCACATCGAATAATTTCGCAACGTCACTATTTATTACGGGTCATAACGTTGCAACACTGAAATTGTCAAATCTGGAATGGAATTAAAATTCCGAGTATATAGTCAGAATTTTAATTCGATTCCTGATTAGGGCATCGAGAACCGGTCCTATTTCAGGAACCGGTTCTTTCGGTTCTAAATTTTAGACGGCACCGGGTACCCGGTTCTTTCGGGTTTTATCATAAATTCTATTTGAAGTCTCTCATTTTTATAAATTTTTTGAAATACACTCAAATTACATCATAGTTTTTGAACTATTTTGTAACTATTGTTATTTTATTATGCCCAAAATTTGAATTTCGCGAGTTGTCATGGAGCATTTACTTCAATGTTCCTTGTTAGTTTCTTAAAAATCTATCATTAATAATAAATTATAACGTTATTTATTGGTTTAACAGTGAAATAATATAATAAATTTGGATAGGAGTAGGAGTTGAAGGAGACTCGGGGGAAGGATGTATCTCAGTAAGGCGCTGGTAGGGGTCTTGACCGTACTTCCGGGATTGCTCTGATAGCCGTGGGATGCCTCTCATTCCCTAAGCAGCTCAACGTATGTTGCCTCCGTGTCGCTACATGCTATCGGCCGTTTTCGGGGGCCCATTTTATTGGGTTTGCCAGTCACCTCCTGCCTGTTTATCCGTATATATCAATATTGGTCAGGGGCAGGGGCCATAGTATTTCCATAGTTATCATATCCACCAGCACATAGCAACCCATACCCATAAAACCCTTTCAATTATTATTACCACATTTCGCAATAGATCAACCGCGGATTATCCTTGGGTGCACTTTCATAGTGCATACAGGGATAATTGCCGGCTGATGTCCCATTTCAGTTATATTAAAGTTGTTCAACGGGCCTCTGCGAGTTGGCTTCGACCCCTCGTACGCCTTCTAAAGGTCCGTGATCCTGTAATCCCGTGAACGGAAACGAAAATTTGGATAATAACTTGATATTTAGCATTAAAAGTATTATAGAGATATTATTTTTAAAATTTTAAGACAGAACCGTAAGAACCAAAAAAACCGGTTCCTTGTTTTACAGAACCGGTTCTATCAGTGTCTTCCAGAACCGGGATTTCCCGGTTCTTTCGGAACCGGGAAAAACCGGTTCCGATGCCCTATTCCTGATTTGACATGACCTACTGTCATTTTGTGAAATAATGATACCACATATAACAGTGTAGTGATAAACACAAAAATCGATAAACAATCAGTGAATCAGTATCAGGAAGGCATTCAAAAAATTACGGCTACCGAATGGTCTAAATGCGTATCCCATGTTGTCAAATAAGAGAAAAAAATGAGGAAGCTAGATATGTTAATTGACAATAAATATCACAGACACAATTCATAATAAATGTTACAGAAAATAACAGCGATAGCGATAGCGATGACGGCGAAAATTTATAAAATTTCTGTTTTATTTGTCATGTTCCTTCAAGATCACATTTTTTATTAATTTCACACACAATTACAAAAGAAAAGTCTCAGATCGTTAATTAATTGTCAAAACTAAATTATCGGTGCAGAAATATTTTATTTCCTGATAAACTTAGTTTACGAGAGTAAATTTATAAACGAGAGGAATCGATTCAGAAATATTCGACTTCCACATCGAATAATTTCGCAACGTCACTATTTATTTCGTGTCATAACGTTGCAACGCTGAAATTGTCAAATCTGGAATGGAATTAAAATTCCGAGTATAGATCTATCTGTTGGGCCCAACAGTTCCGGGAATCAATATTTCAACTTTTTTTATGTAGGTAATAGGTCGGCAAACGAGCAAACGGATTACCTGATGATAAGCAATCAGCGCCGCCCGCAACAAAGGAGTTATGAGAGCGTTGCCGACCTTTTGGGGATTAGGGTATTTAGGGATTGGGAGAGGGGAAGGATTAAGCCTCCTCTAACCTCACTCACACGGCGAAACACAACGCTGTGGTTGTTTCACGCCAGTTTTCTGTAAGGACGTAGTACACACACTTCCCTCAACTTAGTTGCGGGAGGAAATATCGTGAGTCTTGAATCTAAAGACGTGATTGTGATAAAGAATGTGATGCATCCCCTTAGTGTCTGTTGAGGCATTTTGAAGGGTTTAAGTAGTGTAAATCCATAAAGCTAAGCATTTATGGCCATGCAAACTAAGCGTGTATAAGTACAAAATTTCAAATCTCAATCAGTTGAAGATATCTTTAAAATAAAAGAGGGTAAAATCTTTTTTAATGACCTTTGCCAGCTGCTGCCCGAAGTGGTGGGAATGGGGAAAGACCGACGAGAAGACATTCGACACACATGGGTAAAAGTGTAATATAATCATAATCATAATCATGAACCCATAATTGATGGGTTCATGATTATGATTATCTAATGGGCCATCTATAAGCTTTTTGTTTGATTAATTATATTATCTGGATGAAATGTGTTTAGGCATCGTAACTATAAACATTAATCGTTGATTGCTTACCATCAGGTAATTCGTCTGCTCGTTTTCCGACCTATACCATTATAATGGTTTATACATAAGTAACCTAAAAATAAACCTTTTTTGTAATAAGACATAAGTGTGACTAATGTCTTCTTTGTTGTGACTGACTATTTACCTGATAATATGATGGGCTCCACGCTGTCATAGTTCCGCAGTACCCAAATGAACAGCCTGGCGAGATCCAGCGAGTATATGAACTGACGCAGCGGCTTCCCGCTACCCATCACCGTGAACTGCTGGTCACCTGCGAACGAAGATCGATAAATTTTTCATAGTTGATTGAAAACAGTTATGCGTAGAGAGCCATGCTTTAGTGTGAGTGATCCGGCCACACAGAAAACCGACCCGAAACAACCAGTGTTGTGTTTCGTCGTATGAAATGTTACTGGAGATCCAAACCTAACGTTCGACTGCATGGCGCAACGTGTCGCGGTTTCGATTCCCACACAGAACAACTGAACTTACTACTACATCAGTACGACTGAACTTACGCACACTTAATTTTCGTCACCAATCAAGTTTCGTGATTTAAAAGTACCATATATGTAATAACGTATGATTTAATTCTTCTTTCTCTAAAAGGGGGTGTGGGATTACTTGTAACTCTTTTGGTGAAGGGGATTTCTGTCGGCAGCGCTGATTGCTTACCATCAGATGACCTGAACCGTCGGCTCTATTCTAATATACGTGGATATTAACGTAAAAAGTAATTATTTAAGCACCTAAGAAGGTTTGACGTTCCGACCTAGTTGCATAGGTCGTGGTCGCAAGCAGACTTTTCACGTTAATACCCGCGCAATTATATTATTTCAATCGCCGTGGGAGAGTGAGATTGCCGGATCCCCAATCCTTAAATCTCCAAATCCCTATTCCTCAAAAGGTCGACAACGCACTCGTAACTGCTCTGTTGCGGGTGTCCATGGGCGGCGCTGATTGCTTACCATCAGGTAATCCGTCTGCTCGTTTGCCGACCTACATAAAAAAATTGAACGCGACAGTTTAAAAATAATAAAATCACTCAATTACAATCAATTTAAAGCGACTGTACGGAAACTTCTCATTGACAAATGTTATTATTCAACAACAGACTTCCTAATTGATAAATTTTAACATTAAGTATCTTATGACATTATTACATATATTAATTAAAATCGCTCTAAAATTACATTTTTAAATATTACTATAAAATAAAATAATATTTAAAAATATAAAAGTAGGAGCCAGCTGGCAGCGGGAGCAAGGTCCAAGCTGCCGGCGGTTAGGGCTCCAGAGACAAGAACCTCCTCACAATACGTGCCGTTTCAAGGAGGACTGCCTTCTGTATGAGGCCCTTGATCCATCCGCCTAACGTCAGCCTCTTAAGGTGGTTGTCGAGGCTTTTGGGGACTAACCCGTTTGCCGACACAACTATCGGCACAACGATGGCCGAGTCCACATTCCACATGTCAACAACCTCGTGAGCTAAGTCAAGATATTTCAATTGTTTATCTTTCTCAGCTTTCACGAGGTTCTCGTCATGAGGAATGGCAACATCGATTATCGTCGTGCGACGCGCTAGTCGGTCTACCACCACTATGTCAGGCTTATTGGCTACAATAGTCCTGTCTGTGATGATAGACCGATCCCAGTACAATGTGATATGGTCTTTTTCGAGAACTGGGTCGGGCACATACTTGTAGTACGGGACCTCAGACTCAACAAGCCGGTATTTCAAAGCAAGTTGCTGATGGATAATCTTGGCCACCTGATTATGTCTGTGCAAGTATTCGCCATTAGCCAAACGACCACAGCCGGAAATAATATGTCTGATGGATTCACCGGAGCTATGACATGCCCGACATATGTCAACCGTCCCATCCTTCATAATATATTTCCGGTAGTTATTCGTGAGGATAACTTCGTCCATAATTGCACATACAAATCCTTCAGTCTCTCCGAAGAGGTTACTGAATCGTAGCCAAGCTACGGACGCTAGAAAATCTATATCGGGCCCGTGGAGAGCCCGAAAGAAGCGTCCGTGGAGCTCCTTGCTACTCCATACCGCCTTACGGTCATTGACGCTCAGTACTACGGGTTTGCACCAGTTCTCTTTAGCCAAGGATAGTGGTGTGAATCCCTTGTCCACTGTGACTACTTCTCGATGCATATCCTCGTCCACTTTCAGGAAATGTTCCCTGAGATTGCACACCTCACGGTTGTGAAGGGTCTTAGCGTTTAGAAAGCCTCGACCCCCACACTTCCGCGGGATGTACAACCTCATGACTGATGAACGAGGATGATGCATTCGATTTGCAGTCAGCAGCGTCCGGACTCGTCTATCCAGGATGTCAAGTTCAGTCTGAGTCCATTTGAGTATGCCAAAAGAATACATCAGGACCGGCATGACCCAACCGTTAAAGGCGCGTACCTTGTTGCCGCCTGATAACGAACTTTTCAGTACCTTATTCAGGCGGCCAAAGAAGCGCTCCTGTAAAGATTGTTTCATGTGCGGCCCATTAATACCCAATCCTTCCGACATACCCAAATACTTGTAGGTATCATTTGCGGAGAGTGATCTTAGTTTTGTGAAATCTGACAGCTCTAGACTTTCAGATTCCACTATCCCGCCTCGCTTTACATGCATGACCGCACACTTATCAACACCAAACTCCATTCTGATGGAACTACTAAAATTTTTAGTTATTTTTAGTAGTTCCATCAGCTCCTCCTTGTTTGGTGCAAACAACTTGAGGTCATCCATGTAAAGTAAGTGAGAAATAACGTGACCTTTTCTCCGCAAACGATAGCCCAGCCCTGAAGCCTCAAGTAAAGTACTGAGAGGATTCAAGGCCAAGCAGAACCATAGTGGGCTCAGACTATCACCCTGGAATATTCCTCGCACTATCCTTACAGGTTCTTCACTCCTTTGGATTTGCTTACATCCTGGGTAGGAAAGCACCGTGCTCCACTGCCTCATACATGACTGTAAGAAGTTGCGCAGAGTTGTATTAATTTTATACAACTCCAGCACCCTCATAAGCCATGTATGTGGTACGGAGTCATAAGCCTTTTTATAATCTATCCAGCATGTAGACAAATCCTTTCGGGATCGACGAACCTGCTGGCTAATGACCATATCAATGAGGAGTAGCTCCTTAGTTCCACGTGACCCCTTTCTACATCCATTCTGAGAGACAGACATGATGGCATTTTTTTCTATATGTTTTGTAATTTTTGCTCTCAAAATGGATGTAAAAAGTTTATAGACCGTTGGTAAACACGTAATCGGTCTATAATTTTTGGGTTCAGTGTAACTACCCGATTTATGGAGCAGGTGGGTAATTCCTGTAGTCAGAAACTGAGGCAACGATCCAGCTTCTAAGGCCATCTGGAACTGCGACGCTAAGCGATCGTGTGAACTGGTAAATGATTTCAGCCAAAAGTTGTGCAGTCCGTCCGGCCCCGGTGATTTCCAATTGGGGACCAAACAGGCTGCATTGGCTACATCAGAGGAGGTAATGACTACCTCCTCCATCTCTGGTAAAGTTTCACACTCCCGCTTAACATCGCACATCCAGTCAGCCTCCGTGTGGTTAACAGGCACCGACCAGATGTTGCGCCAAAACGAGTTGGTAGTTTCATCGTCCGGACGCTGTCCGTTAACCACATCTTGGCTGGACCGTTCCCAGTCTCTGTACACTCACCTCTGATCACTTTGGAACATACGATTCTGAGTATAGCGCTCTACCCTTTTTTTATATCTTCTAATACGGTTTGCCCATGCATAGATTTTCTGCTTCAGGAAGTCGATGCGCTCTGTAACACGTGTAAGGTATTCATGAGGACTAGTTTCAGTCCCCACAAATGCACGCCTTACAAAGCGCATCACTCTAGGGCGGTTGTTCCCCTCCCTGAAGCAGGTTAGTTTGCCGATGAGTACCCTGGCCTCATCGATACGACGCTCAATCCTGCACTGCCAGGCAGGAGCAGCTGGTTTCGGTCGGACTGCTGCGTCAAGATTTGGGAATCTGACGTTAGCTACTCGACAAGCTGCTATCGCCCCACAATACAGGATCGAGTGTGTATCATAGAGATTTTCGCTACTTTACAAAATTGTTAAACTAAATTATTGTCTTCTACAATGTTGAATCTGACAGCCCTTTTTAACATATTTTGCATGCCAGTATTTTATGTATTGGCAAAATGTATACGGCCACTATTATACCTGTAAAAACTTATCTGTACCTACATTTTATGCAAAATAAATGATTTGATTTGATTTATTTGAAAGTTAGTAGTCATTGAAAGACGAGCAGAAAATTTGACGCAATGAATCTGCTACCTTTCTGCATAGCGTCGTCCATTCTCCGAATGAGTGCGGGGATGACGTGGCTAGCCTGCAAGTTGAAGTTGTCGTAGGGGCCGAACACGTTGCACGGTATCACCGACGTGAACGTGCAACCGTACATCTCCTGGTAACCTCTGCAACATTCGAAAATACATATTCATTTATATGTTTATGGTTTATAAAATGGGTATTCAGGTATCGGGTTCGATTCCCGCACGGAACAACTTTTTGTGTGATCCACTATTTATTGTTCCGGGTCTGGGTGTGATGTGTATATGTGAACGCACGCAACGTTTTAAATTGTATAAATCCATTTCCCCTTGGTTATAACAATACATGAAAACGGCTGGACCGATTCCGGTAAGATTTTGCTGTGTGCTTTATTACTTTTATCTATTACCTGACACTCTAGACCAGTTATCTCTTTTCAGTTTGAAGTATATAAAAAAGTATATTAACAATCAATTTGAAAAGGATATCTTAACATTTTGAGATAGCAAAAAATACTCAGATTAGATATTTCGATTAAAGAACTTAATGGGTAAGCTTAGGGTTGAAAATCGTATGTAAGCAAAGTTCATTTTGAAAATGGTAAATCAGTATAAACATTCTGGGAGGGAAAACCATAGCGCGGCCTGAGCCTAAAAAACTTATATAAGTACCTGTTTAGTACATCTATCATTCTCTTCGCATAGCTATAGCCAAAATTTGAAGTGTGGGGAGGACCATTATGCACCTGAAATAAAATCATAACCATTATAAGAAAAAAAAAAGTGAAATAAAAAAGAGTTTTGGTTGGAATCATAGTAGTAGTTAGTAAGAATAGATGGGGAAAGGTTAATTAGGGAATGCTACTATCAAAATATAGTTCACTAGTAAAATATAATTCATAAGCTATATTAACTTACCATGGTTTCATCAATTGGATATGTTGTCTTATCAGGGAATATACATGTAGATAGACAGGATACTACTTTCTTTACATTATGTTTATAGCTGGCATTTAAGACATTGTCGTTTATAGCCATATTCTCCCTCTGAAATTATAGAAAATATAGTTACTAATAAGTTCTCTAAGCCCTACAAAAACAGGTTATGACAAAATTTCTATATACTTGTGGAACTGTCAGTTTTGATTTGAAAAATGCCAGTAGAATTCAGGTTGTAAACTATTGTAAATTAGTTTAATCAATAAGGAAACAATAAAATTTGTTTAATTGAAAACATTTGTAAGCTATTCTAATTATTTATCTTATCAACATCTCCACAATTTGACTTTGATGGCAAAGTTTTAATTAAATAATATCTTATCTTGTTACTTACAAAGAAATCTAAATTGTGTGCCATGTTGTGGAATAGCCCCCCAACCATAGCAGCTAAATGTATAACATGTGTGGGTTGATGTCTCTCAAACAAAGCATCCGTTTGTGCCTTATCTCTGAAATTAATTACATACATTGCTGATTATGTTACAATTTATAAATTTTATACTTTCGGAAAACATAAAAGCATGTTTTTTATGAAATATATTATTTTCTGCTTCAAATAAATGGTATATTATTTTCCTCTAATAGCACCTGAGTCTGTTAGAAAAGTTAAATAGTACTTAATACTGTAGAGTTGTCATGCACTTTGGTGACACCTTTTTCAATTGGTGTAGATCTAGCAGGTGTAGATATCTTTCCTCTTAGACAGATTCAAATACAGCTAATATTACAATAATGGTTTTATTCAATACATCACTTGAATTAAATAAGAATAGATAATGTTTATGTTTATGAAATCTCATTTTACCAGGTTTTTATAATAGTTGTTAATAGGTATTTTTAATAGGTTTTACTGTAGATGATAAGGTGGTAGTAAAAATGTTTTTGTGTATTGTAGGTCATGGTCACATTATGTAAGAAAAAAATATGCTAGTACATCTAAACTAGATATTGTACTATCATTATAACCCGGCGAAAAACTCAGTACCCATTTTCAAATATAAAACAAGCCTACCTGAGGTCCCCATCCTTAGATCCACAGAATATCCAAGTTTCATCCTTTGAACCATCATGATTTTGCGACTTCTCTTCGTCAATTACCGTTTTTATCGCTTGACCAACTAGCCCCGAACCTCCAGTCACTAATATCACACGGCTTTTCGTACTCATCTGGAATATTTTACAAAATTAAATCAAGTTACTAGTGAAGAGCATAAAATTAACTACTATTTACTAGAGCACAAAGAAATTTAGCAACGTGTACATACGATTTATAATATGAATTTACTTGGATGGTGCGTATGTGGCAAACTTTATTAACTTATTTTGAAAATAAAATTTTTGACCGATCTAATAAATATCTCGCTATCGGTAAGTGACGTTGACGTAGACGTACGTCAACAACAAACTATTAAAGTTGACATTTTGACAGTGTCAATGTCAAGCATTAGGGTAGATATGGATTTGTAGCTAAAGCTAGTCTATGGCAAAATTTAAAATTTTTATTGACTAAATAAATAATTTAAATGGTTTAAAAACGTGGTGCAAATCGTGTAAATGGCGTGCAGTGTCGGTGACCATTTCATATATTTACTATGGTTATAAACTATGGGTTACAACATCAGTAGCAAAACGGGTCATTCAAAAAGGCAGGGCCCAGGGCATAGCTAAGAGCGCCATCTCTGAGCTTGGCAAAATATAGACAGATCGCAATATCTCAGTCAGAACCAAAACAAATTGGTGCGGATCATAGTTTCCTATCTAATATATCTTCTCTTACGGCGCAAAAACATGATTCCTAAGAGCAGTAGACAGTGAACGCAATGACGCCTTCGAAATGAAGGGCTGCGGAAAGATGTTCGATATTCTCAGGATAGCATTATTAACCAACATCTCAATACTGAGTGAACTCAAAACCTCCTAATAATTGTCATCCGAGTGAAAGATGGTAACTGCCTGATGAGTTTGTGACTTGGGACTGGAAAGCTGGACAGGAAAAGGCCTCGTGGTTGCAGCCCAATACGTTGGTCTAATCTGATTCGCACTGCTCTAGACTCCATTATCCACAATGCCTTCCACACTGCCAAATTGATGCAAAAGTGTGGTCCGTCCGACCCACAGGAAGGAGGAGAACTAAAGACACAGTTAGGTACTGTTGAGTGGTATCGTGTCGTGTCGTTGTCAATACATGAATCTGGGCCGTTCTAGCACGACATCTGATTTGATGTTTGGTTTACAAATATTTCTGTAGATTTAAAAAATCATTACAAACAATCAACATTACCAATGTTTATTGCAAATGATAAAAGTTTGGAATGTATGTCGGCTAGTGCTTTAATTTTACTACATATTTTATATGTGTGAATGCCTTAACAATTTTTGCTTGTGCTTGGTATGTTACTTTGTACACCTGTAAGTACTGATCACAGTAAGAACCGATAGTCACCCCTAAAAAGGGGCTTAGAAGAGTTATTGCCTTTTCAAACACACACCTGAAGCGTAGGCACACGTAAGCCTTGTATATCTCTTGACTGCGCATCATATTCTCTCTATTGTGACATATGAGATGATGATGATCATATACCTTTGTCCTTCAAATACAAACAGTTACATTTAATTCAATAAAAATTGAGATTCTTAATATCTTTATTTTTAATTAATAAATGAAGCCCTCCGATCATTCACTGCCTAACTTTAATTTGTTTAAAAATTTAATTAAATAATTTTCTATATTTATTAGATGTGGTTTTATTTTTAACAGGGGATTCCAAATTCAAAAATGTCGATGATTCACTATTACAATTATCATCTTAGCAGCACTTTTTAAAACTTAAAAAATCTTGTCTATGTAAAAATACTGAATAACGATTGGCCCGTCGATTCTCTACGAACATTCGTTCTCGCTCCGAAAACGCCAAATACGCTTTCAAACCAAAATGGAGGATTTGTCGGTCGAGGTGTACGGTGATAATGGTGCTTATTATAAGGTTTGTAAATTGTGAAGTACGTTAAAATTCCACACAACAAGTATTATTCTGACTAGTGTAATGTTTATTCAATTATTTCTAATGATCAGTACCTTTGTAAATCTTATACTTACAAAAATATTTTTCCGGGAAGATCATCACGGCTGGAATGGACGCCATGTCCGCCTGTCAGGGCGTGATTTTTCCATGTGTTGTAATAATTACGCTGCTTTCTATATTTTTTACTGCGTTAAGGTGTTTTGGAATTAGGAAGATATGCGACGCAATTTTGTAACTGCGCATATATACATAAATGACCTAGATATCTTATTTCTAGCGGACCACGAAGTTGGTGTATAGTCGGAATGTTCTAAAATCTCTTTATTTTTAGGCCATTGTCACCGACGTTCTCGACAACGAGGTTCTCGTAGCCTTTGAAAATGAGTAAGTATTGTTTCTTTAAAATATTTATATTGTTATTAATAAATTTGGGATGAAAAAGTGCGGGTATTTTTATTTATATTTAATACTTTGTTTTGTAGCTGGCAGCCGGAGTCCAAATTCCCGTTCTCCCAAGTGTTTTTACCACCGAAAGACACAGGCAAGCACACAGAGTTCGTGGAAAACCAGGAGGTGGAGGTATACGCGAGGTCCAATGAAAAGGAAGCATGTGGGTGGTGGACAGCAAATATCAAGGTATTGAATTACACATACTTATTTTGTAGTGCACCCTATCTCAAGTTTAACTTATTCTCAAGTGTGCTATTATTCTGTAGGTATGCTTAGAAACCTGTAGTAAGTTGTTATTTATACCAATAAAATACAAGTCCTTTGTTTAAATTATATTTGAAAATTATGCATCAAAACTTTCACCAAGATTCCATTGTCATTATATTTACTATATTTTTATTTAAATAAACAGTGAAACATTATCAGGAATTGTAAGAGCCATCAATTAAAATTATATAAACAGTTGAATGCTAAGTTTGTCTTTGTGACCAGGGAGTACCCTCTATTTTTGATAATTCTATGTAAAGTTATTTGTGCATTTAATATATTAAACAATGATGTTGAGTTTATAACTGGACAACTGCAGTTTGACTCCAATCAATAAAATTAGAGCTGGAATATTTATTTTTCAAAGATGATAATGTTCTAATGGTGCATTATTGATTAAACAACAAATATGGTTGGTAAGGGGGTGCACTATTAGTTAGAGTAAAATGCTTAACACTATACTACAAAAAAAAGTGAGTGACATTTCACTCAATGATACTCAAATGAATTTAGCAACAAAAGCAATATACACAAACGGCTATTTTGTTGTATTACTAAAATCTTTGATTTATTAAATAGTTGCATGAGATTATTCTTCAACTATGCAGTATGACGATCTGCAGGTTGATATTATATCCAAATACATATATTTGGTTAAAATGTTAGTATGTTATAGTTTTGGGTTAATAAAGAAATCTTATTTTAGGTATGCTCAAGGACCTAACATTTAACAAGGTGTAGATATAAAAACTATAGTGTATAATAAACTGATATCTAGTTATTAATTATTTTGGTGTAAAATCATGCAACTTAACTGTATCCCACTTAATTGCGCTTTCACTCTGGGTAAAATATGCTTACTTAATGCAGTGTTAATTGTTTTGTGGGTAAAAAATGTTAACTTTTTGGGCCTTGATTGTTTTAATTCGGTTTAAGACTTAGCAATTCTTAACATTACTTATGACTACTGATACAAATATAGTATCCATATTATAGAAGATTAGAGTGGTATGCGTTACCTTGAGACAGCTTGTGTACTAAGTAAAGTACCACCCCTTAACATATATGCTAATGGTTAAAATCAATATCCAGTCTGAAATCTCTTAATAAATATCCAGACTTTTTAAAGAAAAAAGATAGCACAAATGTAACATTGAATGATTGAAATTGTTACCAGAACTACTATATTAGTTCTAGGATGTTTTAGGCAGATATTATTTAAACTTTACTTAAATATCCATACAATAATAGCAAATCATGTGATTTAACATTTTGATTTAATTTCAATCTCAACAGTTTTTATTTCATTCTTGACACAAGATTATACTTTCTTTGATTGCACTTGACTATGATATACCGTGTTCTCTTTTTTAACTATAACTCATAAACATTAACAAACTTATAAGTTATGGCAGATCTTGAAAAGTTTTTCTCATTCCAATTTCAAGTTCCAATGAATTAATTTGATTTACCAATGAATGGCAATTTTGTGTTTCTGAGTATTCATGGCCTATGTTTCAGTTATCTTGTTAGTATTCATTGCAATTAATTAAAAAAAAAATTGTAGTTATCTTATTGTTAAGAACATGAAGGGATTTCATTTGGAATCTTTTTCCCTCCAAATTAATAATAAACACAGGGAAAGTATGTGTTATGCTCTATCCAATTAAGTTATTGTATAAAATGCCGTAAATGGCGCATTGCGCATTTCTTGAGGAAAGAAAATGAGATCAATGGTGCATATTATGCTTCAATGCCGTCAATATACATCCGGGTATTACCGCCTTTTTTATGATCTGGGCCTGGGTTTGTTAAAATCAGGTTATTTTCATACTTTGAGATGGTCACAGTGATGAAGTATGATGCATTTAGGTTTTTCTTTATACTTAATAGTGGGGAATCTATTTTAGTTTAATAGAACAAATGAAAATTATAACGCATCTAATCGATTTCACGACGAAAGCTGAAATTGAATAAAGTATCTGAAATATTTTTAAATATCTTTTTGTTTCTTATTTTCAGATGATGAAAGGTGACTTTCTTGTGATAGAATACCTAGAATGGGACAACTGCTATACGGAAATCGTGCCAAATGACCGCCTCCGAGTAAAGACTCCCAAAACTCCTATTACCAAGAATACCTTCCACAAGTTCGAAATAACCGTACCGGATGATCTCAAGGACTAGTAAGTACTTGCTGTTGCTAAATAACGTAATATGGATCTATGTAATCAGGACAAAGACCTCAATTTTGTTTAGATATTGGGGTAAGAGTATTATGTTTACTACAAAAACATTAGATTATAATGAAATTAAAATAATAAAAAAAGAAGAATCTTGTTACTACTAAGACAATAATTCCACAGGTATTTTGTTTTTACGACAAGTTTTTGGTTAGGCGTAGGATGCACGACTAAAGTTGTGGTATCTTTACGACTGCTGAAACATAAATAACACAGTTTTGTGTTTAGGATGTGGCCTGGTTTATCTAAACTATCGTGGTACTGTTTTATTTGCACTACCACTAGTTATCCATTTGCTTGATTAACAGTCACAGCAATGGAATTTTCGATACCAGACTCGAAACTGTCCTAGAGAACTAAACTAATTCTAATTAAATAAAAGCAATAAATCAAGAGTTAGGCTTTGGGTTAGAGTCGCAATGTCGATCTAATGAATAATAATAATAACAAAAAAAAACAAAATGTGTTTGTTCAATAGCTTAATCATGTATATTGCAAGACTCTTCAAGAAGTTACTTTAAATACATGGTTTATGTGCAGTGCGAAGGTGGAGAACGCTCACAAGGAGTTCCAGAAGGCGATAGGCGCCGCGCTGGTATGGTACGTGCCGGAGCGCGGCGTGCTGGCCGTCGTGTCGCGCTGCGAGACCTCGCAAAAGCGCGCCCAGATGCTGCAGGAGATGCACTTTAGGTAGGATGCTATTCATACAGCTGGTTCACTAGTTAAGTCATACAATACCAAGTACACAGGTTGAAGTACTCTGTCTGAACTTTTCTTAATACATTTCATGCTATTTCTAATTAAAGTTGCATTGCTTTATGATTTTCTTGCTATCATCTTTGATAACTTAAAAAAGCCATAGACAAGTTACACTAAGCATACATGGCCCTTATCCAAAGTTGCTTGCAATCATCATAATTCATTCTCCTTTACTAGGTGTCTTCTACTCTGTGATGTAACTTCATTTTCGTTTTATACCCATTCTTTACTTTGGCTGTTTTTTTTTCTTTTCTTCCAAAAACATTTAAATAAATTGTGTGTTTCACATGGTTTTCATCTCTTTACATTAACATGTACAACAATACAAGAGAGATAAATAAATACATTCTAGACCGCAGTGTACAAATAAATAAGCACTTCACTGGGATCCCAATTACAAAGTTTGAATTGAGGTCCTATTTGTTTGGGCAGCAGACTCACTGCCACAACAAAATTTGTGCTAACATTATCAGAATAAGCCACAGGGCCAGCGGTATTAAGGCTCATGCCGAATTGGTAGTATTAGGCTTATGACATTTATATTAAACATTCTTTTTTTCTCACTGGTCTTATGTCGACACAAATGTGAAATTGTTCTAAGTAATATTATTATTTTCCAGGAATCTAACTCAGAAGCTGTTATTGCTGAAAAAGACTGAAGAAGCAGCTAAGCAGTTGGAATCCACCAAAATACATAATCAAGGCGGGTGAGTAGCTTCACTGTACAGATTTACCATATGACTACTTTGTCGGTGTATCCAATTCAAAAGATAGATAGCATATAAATTAATCGATAGCTAGAAGTATTTAAGTGGATGTCCTCATAATTAATATACAATTGAACAGAATATACGAACTCGCTGATCTCGACGTCACCAAAAACATTGTTTATTTTACTTATCCGAGTTGCTTTCATTATTCATTGATAGTGCTGTGACGTTACGCTTTCTCTGTCGACAATGCGAATCTTATTACACCACGTGTCTTTGATTAAACGCATTATTTGTGTGAGGTATTAAGAGTGGTTACCTACATGAACACTTTGGATTCTGGGGTTTCGCCATAGCTAGGCTATCTATTTTTGTAATAATTTTTATCATGCTACCATTTTGATCCTGCCAGGGAAGTCGAAAATGAGTTTGTTGAATCCTTAACATGTTTTAACATGGTCCAGTGATCATCATAAAAATAAGCAGAACATGTGGAAAAAATGCTATTTTCGGCAAATCGATTTCCGCATGCCCCAACGACACGTGATATGTAGCACGCATGCAACAAATTAAAGCTTCGTGGACGCATTCTTGCGTGGAACGTACCCTACTTTGTTTGATTGCAATCGCGCGGATATTTTTATATAATGATCGATGGTTTCAAGAAAAACTGTGTCAGTGCCTTGTCAGACAGCTTTATTTTTTAGGAATGTTCTAGATTGATTAGTTTTTTATATTTATATTATTGTTTAGGTAACTAGGTGGTAACTAATCCAATATTTAACTTTTGTGTGAATATTAATGTGAGGTACGATTTGTTAAAGCTAACAAAAAATCACAACAATATAATTTGAAATGTAAATTTTATGTTGTGAATAATAATTATTATTATGACAAGCGGCCCACGCGCTTTGCAGGGGTCTAACTATTTCGCTGACAACGAAAGGATCCTTTTTCCCCAATTTTCCCCTCTACTTTTCTGATATTTTCTTTCATCAGAACCTTACATGAAAATAAGAAATACAAAACAAAAGGATTTGTCAAAATTGGTCCAGGCGTTTTTGAGTTATGCGCTTACCAACACATGATAAATTTAAACTGTTTTCACAATATTTTTTACATTTTGTTAATGCACAAATGGGCATTTTTTGGTGGTTACTTCATTTTCTATTATATATCCTTATTTGTTTTGGCTAGTAGCCTAAATGCAGTAATATGCATACAATAGATTAAACTTAAAATCAATTTTATTTGTATGTTGTCTTAATAGTGGGTTTGTTGTTCCAGCTATACAGACGAATTCTCAGTGCGTGAAGATCTGATGGGATTGGCAATTGGCACACATGGGGCTAACATACAACAGGCGCGTAAGGTGGCCGGAGTCACCAACATCGAGCTGGAGGAGGTCTCATGCACGTTTAAGATCTGTGGCGAGGTACAGTATACATTTTTTGCAGTAAAGTTTATCGTGTACAATGTATGGAGTCGAGAGCCGTGTGAGACGAGAGATGTCGTTTCAGTCGATGGAGGCGGTGCGCGCCGCGCGGTCGCTGCTGGAGTACGCGGAGGAGTCCATCAAGGTGCCGCGCGTGCTCGTCGGGAAAGTCATCGGCAAGAACGGGAAGGTCATACAGGAGATCGTGGACAAGAGCGGAGTCGTGCGCGTCAAGGTGGAGGGCGACAACGAGCCCCAGCCGTCCGCGCCGCGCGAGGAGGGCGTCGTGCCCTTCGTGTTCGTGGGCACCCGGGAGAACATCGCCAACGCCAGGGTGCTGGTGGAGTACCACGTGGCGCACCTCAAGGAGGTCGAGCAGCTGCGCGCCGAGAAGCAGGAGATCGACCAGCAGCTGCGCGTCGTGCTCGGCGGCGCCACGCAGACCTACGCCGCGCCGCGCGGACAGCCCGCCGCCCGCGCGCGCCGTCTGCGTCCGCCGCACCACCGCTACCCCGGCGCCGCCGCGCGCCGCGTCACGCCCGACCTGGCCGACGAGCGCAGCGACAGCACCGGCTACCGCGGCCGCGGGGGGCGCGCGCCTAGACCTAACAGGTCATTTACACTCTATTACTTATTGCTCGAAACTCATTCGCTTAACAAATCTCATTACTATAAAATTCTCAATGTTTTATTACTTTGGTAATTTTTTGCTTCATCATTTTATTTCAAATTATGTAAAGGCACTGTAAGTAACACACCTTTGAGTGACTGGGCAATTGATTGCTGCTAAAGTTTTGCTGGTTCGATTCCTGCCATCTCTTTGTGATCCACAAATTGTTGTGATGTGTTTGTAAACACACACTAGATATTACAAGTTGACTTGTTTTTGTTGTCTTCATTGGAATTAAGAGAATATATAGTATAAAAGTATTGTTTGTAACATGTCCAGGTCGAGCGAGCGCGGAGAGCGCGGCGAGCGTCGCGTCCCGCTGGAGAACGGTCGCGCGCACCCCGCCCCGCCGCGACAGCCGCGCGGCGCCGCGCCTGTACGTACTCACTTACTTATATCGCGCACTTTCGCTTTCGTATAATCAGGGCATTCTTAAATTTTATCTCCAAGAAGCAGTTAAGAATTTCCCAACATAAAAAAACACATTTGCCACACGTTTTTTTTTTGTATAAATATTGACTTGTCTCAATTAAAGCAGTCTCTGACTGTTATTATTTAAAATGTAATCTGTTCTTCTAACTTTGGTTCTACCCACCACAATGGAATATAACAAATCTCAATCATAACCCAAGTGGAGCCAAACTCTGTTGATCTCATAAATAGTGCCAACTTCATCTAGTTTCTTACATTTTGACGGGAGAAAGTTCCGTAATATGGCCTTTTTCAAAAATAAATTCAATGTTTAATGTTTTGATATTATGTTATTCCATTAAATTCATTTCAATTGTAAATAAAGCAAATGGTGTATGATGATATTAAATGAATAACGAACCTTTCATTAACATTTTCAGACCGGCAGACGACGCGACGACAGACGAAGGCAAACTGATGACGAGAGCAGTGTTCTAGACAGCCAGGACGTGTCCAGTGCAGACCGAGGTACGACCTAGTCGCGCTTGTATTTAGTCTCAAGTGGCCCTCTGGGCGCTCGACAAACTGCCTCACGGTTGTGCTAGGAAATTGCTTCGCGATTATGTACTTTAAACATACGACGTCTCGTCTTCGAGACACTTAATTTGCTCTCAAATGTTGTGGTTTATTCCACCCAACTCCACTACCAATATCTATTAGGTTATTTTATTTTTAAGAGACTTTAATTTATTATTTTGTTTTTTATTCTCAATTTGTACATTCATGGGTATGATACTTTCAATTATATCCCTAAGATAGTGTTTTTTTAATAGTAGCTCTGGGTCAGATGTTACATAGGTATAATGATACAATAAAAGGCAATATATTGTCTATGAAAGTGGCCATTAATGTGATGGTAGAATTGGACATAATAATCCCTTGATTATTTTTACAGTGAGTCAGGTTAAAATATACTGCTGTCTCATTATGTTCTTAGATTTAATGAATACTTTAGTCATTAAATGTGGAAATAAAATATTTATTGCATTCCTTGCGTTTGAATTTTAATGTTTATTTAGAATGTAGATAGATATACACTAAAAATTGCCAATGGTCGGCCAAGTATAATTTTTTGAATTATAGTAAGTACTGTGAGTTTTTTTAAGGAAGTGTGTGAGTTATTTTACTGTCGTATCACAATATGAAATCAATAAAGGTAATTGTAGTAAAGGTCTACAGCCGTATAGTTTGTCGATCGCTCATATAGATGGAACTTTTTATTATTTTACTATGAAATGTGTTTGCTGATGCAATAGAAAATGGATGCTATAAATTATTACAAAATCTGAAAATATTACTGAATGTGCTAGTTAAAATGTAGTTGTAGTGATTATTTCATAAGTGTATTTATGCATTATAATTTTATATGTTTATTTTTTACTGTGCACCCCATTTTACATTTTAATTAGTACATAATCTGTAGAAGGATGAATGGGAAGTTTTAGTTGTATTTTCGTTGTCAAATAGTTACATGGGGTGAATAGTTGTTTGCTACGTATGAACAATGTTTTCCTATTTTTGCTTTTTGCTGTGGTTTGGTCTCAGTATGTTTACTAATATTTCGGTGAGGGCTAAACTAAACGCTGCGTTCATGATGCGCAATGTCAAACGTAGTTTCTGTGTTTTAGCTCTATTAGCTGTTTGATTATTATTTGGAATATTTTGGAAGTACATAAGTATGGCGCCGCGTCAGTATTAAGTGTAACGCATTCGAGTAGCGAGTAGTCTGACCGTGTCGGGCGCGACGGTAGCAAACGACTAGTCCCCCAGTAGGTCGGCGCGCAGCAATGTTGGCACTAGTGGCGTGTGTTGTTCAGAGTCCGCGACCTCCGACGACGCGCGCGACGCGGGCGACGCGGCCGCGGCACGCCGGCGCCGTCGCAGGAGGACAGGTACACACCCTCTCTAGGCCGCACTCACGCCTCACTACACCTAATATATCTACATCGCATTTACTGCGCTCCATAATGACACATGCTTAGTGCTTTTTATTGGTCAGATTCTCAAAATAACATTAAAACCTTAATAATCTCATCTGAAATTTGGATACATTTGTCACGCGTGCACAACAGTGATCTAACAGAGTTGTGAGTAAAATGCATGGTTTTATTTTAATAATGTCACTAAGTTTCTAGACTCCTTCTAGTTTACTGCTTTATCATAATATTTATCTCTATCATAGTCCTATGTAGTAGACACGTTTGATCCATACGTGTGTGCATGAATTAGTTGCTCGCCCACATGATGTAAGATTTTCAGATTTAACAGCTGTAGAGTCGTAGTAGAGAGGTCACAGAGCCCGGCTCATAGCGCGGTTGTATTGCAGGAGGCGGGTGGAAGAACGGGCCGAGCGGCGGTGGGGGCGCGGGCGGCGGCGGGGGCGCGAACGGGGGCGGCGGCGCGGCGGGCGAGGGCGCGCGTACTGCGGGCCCCGCCAAGCGCCGCTCGCCGCTGGCCAAGCCCAAGCCCGAGGCGCTGCTCAACGGCACCGCGTAGGCCGCGCCCCCGCCCGCGCCCCCGCGCCCCCGGCCGGCCGCCGGCCCCGGTCGGCCCCTGACGTGACGCCAGCCGCGCCCGCCGCGGCGCATATAATTATCCTAACGTAACGTAACATGTATGGCGCGGCCCCCGCCGCCGCCGGGGGCCCGCCGTCACTAGACTTACTCGTATTATGCTTTTGTAAGAGATTCGTGATTTGTATTCCTGATTACTCGATAATATGAAAAATTAAAGATGTGTACGTCGCTCCCCGGACGATACGCGCCGATCGCGGCCTTTCGGTACCTTTATGGGAGATCGGACATAGCGCAGTACATACGTGTTCGTAGCCTGTACTCTGTGGTTATGTGATTTCCTATAAAATAAACATTTCTGTACATATTTTCAATCGTATTTTTATTTGTACGAATAGTTCGTTCCGTCGTTTCCTCCCTGTCTAAATTACAGAGCATAGCGACCTTACATTTTTTTACAATATACACATAATTATGATGTTGAAATACAATTTTAATACTTTATAAAAATAGTATGACTAGTTTGAATGTTATATTTAGTTCTTAAATTAATAATACTATAAACTCGAAAGGTACCTGGATAGGGAAGGGGGCGGGATACATAAATTTAGTTTGGTGTGACACTAAGAATTTAAAATTCTAAATGTGATTCTTATGACACTGACCTATAATTAACAAATATTTACAGAACTAGACTAAAATATCAGTCATATAACAGTACCGTGATATGCATTATTGCCGGGATATCACTAGGAAGTATTTACACAGAGATATGACGTCAGGTAAGAGACGGGAGAACGTGAATAACGTGAAGCGAAAAGAAATGGCAAGTTCATAAAACTAGGCCAAGTACGAAGTAGAGATAATATTCTATTAAAAACACGGATACATTACATTTGCTACTGATATAATTTGTTGCACTAGTTTTGTGAACTGGCCTCTAATGTACACCAAGTCTAACTTACCTACTTTTAGTGGTTAAACACGAGAACTTCCAAGAATACATGACAAAGTAAAATATATTATTTCAGATTCAGGTTTAGAATGATCATATGACATTACTTATTACGAATCGAATAATACATAAAACAGCGTTACATTGCTATGTTCCACATTTTTTTACTTGTTTTATAGTTAGTACTTGTCTATGCTATGTAAACCAATTGTTTTCCAGCAAAGGAAACGACAAAAATACAAAAAAATCGTATCTAAATGATTACTTAGGATTTGTAGTCGTTGTAAACGAAATTGACAAAAGCTGGAGCAAAAGTATTGGCATTGCCCAGTTATACGGATATAGTATCATCCATATATAATACTGTACTATGTATTACAGTGTAGATTTCTTTAGAAAGTTGCTTTTTGATATTAATAAACATAGTTTGCGTTATGTGCAATAATATTAAATACCCAAGTCTTCTTCAAAATGGTTGTCTTTGTTTTAAGTACTTAGACTAAATAAGTATGTATGTAGTTATTCTTAGACACTTCATGGAATCACCAAATTATTAAGTATTTCTTATCACTTCACATCGTTCGTCTCCTTTACGTAGTAGGTACATATGCTTGTACAAAATGATATGTGTCTACACTGTACAATAATTAGGCTTCAGTATATATAGTATTATATACTTAGGAATACTGTAATATTTCCTATTATAAACATTATTTTGGAAAGTCACTGGTGACTATTATTATGAGAAACATTGTTTTTGTAAATTCATTAAACATTGTATACTTTTTAAGTAAACGCTGAAGTCTTTGAGATCCAGATATAATTTTGATTCATGGCATAAAATATATGCGTTTTTTACTGACTTGATTGAAGTTTTAATACCTTTACAGCCTATATTATAAAGTCCAGATGCCGAATACAATTCTTTATGAGACCTTTGACAATGTGTAGAATCTTAACTTTTGAGACAAGCGTGTAGCTAAACGGGTTTAGGTTAGTTACGATTTAAACTCCCAGAGTTATGGAGATCTCAGATTGAGTTAGAACAATAATGCTAACAATATTATTTTCAACGGAGACAGTCTAGAAGCCTTTTTTATGTGTGGTATTCGTAAATAATAACAGAAGCAAATCTATAGCCATAAGCTTGTAGGCAGAGGCCGTTGAAGTGTTTGTAGGCTACAGCGAGCCGATTTGGGCGACTCACTTGTTTGTCTTATGGCGAAAGTTATAATTTATTAAAGTTTTTTCATATGACAATATAAATAACATTAAATTCTAATAAGAAAAGAGAAAAAAGTATATGTTTGTTTTCAAAACGGAAGGGAATCTTCTAGAATTTAGCTACACGCTTGATTGTAAGAAGAAATAATTTTTTAAACAAAAGTGCCCAACTTTGTGGGTTTTTCCCCGGCAATAATGAGGTGGTGGCATTAGAGTAATCGATGCCTGTCCTCGTGACACGTCTCGAGGTCGCTGTCATCGGAGTCTGAATGCGAGCAGTATGACGAGTCACTCCAGTGCTGGAACTCCTCCTTATGGTGCTCCAAAGCCATCAGCGAAGGAAACAGGCTGTCACACGCACTGCATCTGTTGAAATATGATAGATGCGTATTAATTCACGGGTATTGCAAATACAATATTCGGACAAACTAATCATTTGTTAATAAATTCAAATTAGCAGTCGATGGAGGTGGTATAATTCTGTAGAGGGAGGGTCGAGCCTGCCTCAAATGTTCAAATATCACTACTATATAGTATTGTGCTTCTTCTAATTTAATAAAGTAGATCCTAGTGGAATTATTAGGCCAGCCAAAATATGGTCACTAAGGAAACAGACCGTGAAGAGGTTACCGCGTCTACCACGATTTTTTTTATTGGTACTTGTCCACTTCACTTTATTCACCCAAGATAAAAATACCGAAACAATGAAGTCCGGCGCTATGAGGGGCATGCCATAAATCAGAAATTATAGTTGTTAGATAATCAGCATAGGATAATATAAAAATACATCCTACCCAAAATGTCTTTTCTTCTGTTGATGATCTGCGAGTTGGCGACGCGTTGGAAACGACCGGTCGCAAACATTGCAAGTTAGAGCTTCATCTGGAATAGAAATATAGTAAAATGTTAATAAATAGTACCTGCTTACTTAAGCAGCGTGTTAGTATAAACAGGTGCACAGTAGCATATAGGCATGGCTCTGCTCAGTGTATGTTTTTTGTGCTTACAAGGCTTAAGAAATAAGTAGTTCATCCAGCGTACGAGTTATCGATGCACTTTGTTCTCTGTAAAGAAACGTTAAAAAGTAAAATTGCTTTCTTCAATACCTCTCATCTCCATTTTTTTGTAAATTGTACACAACATACAAATAAATAACGTTCTTTTCATATGGACCGGGATAACGGTCTACTGGGGGTTTAATGATAGGAAGCGCAATCACTTAGGTACATTATGTAAAATAGCTTACAGACATGAACTGAAGATACCACAAGGATGGATATAGGAGACTAACGGAATACTGTTTAAAGTCCACTACAAGGTGTTGGTACCTAGGTAAATAAAACAAAATAATAAAAATCCCAAGTATATAATGGAAATTGTAAAAGGTTTTTTTTACAAAAAATATGTATTGTTTGAGCGTGTTTAATTTATTAATATTAGGTACGTTTTATACAATACCAAGGCAGTTATAAATAGATACTAAATAAAATACTTAATTACCTATACTTAAATTTTTGTCAAATCATGATAGTGTAAACTTGTTCAGCTGACAATATTGTATTAATCATAGATATCACAGAATGTATACAGATATGTGTTGTGTTGGCTGACTCATAGAATACAATTACACCTGACGATTACAAGGGATTCGATTTGATAGCAGTTATAGAAAGAATGTAGATTGTTTTCGTAATGAATAGTTTAAAATAGGTAGTTATAACAGGCAAGTAGGCCTGATGTAGTACAGATAAGTTGCCGAGTCCATTATATTTACTTTTAATATTATAAGAAAAATACGAACAATAAACTTGTCTAATTTAAAAAATCTATTGTATTATTTTAAACAGTACAATACTCTTACAGCATACCTGTCAAGAATTCTATTGTAGTCCTAAATTAGACTTAGAAATAACAATTTTAGGTTTTCAATCACATCATAAAATATACCTTAAGAGAATTTCGATAAATGCCTTCAATAATGGGGATGGTTCAAACTTCGAAAGGTCAACTGAACTATATGGTTCATAAATTATACAAGTACAAAATGTTTCACCGTGAAATCAAATAATGAATGTGACTAACCCCCGGTTTCTGAAGGGCCGATCAATGTTAAAATCAATTTAATCTCTTGTCAAGTCATCTGATTGGTTGACTGAATTATCAATAACCAATCAGATGACTTGACAAGAGATTTAACAGGAGATTAGTTAATTTTAGCGTTGACAAGCCTTTCAGAAACCGGGTGTAAGTATTTTTTTTTTAAAGTAGACATTTTTATAAGAACCACCCCACCAAATTGCATAATAGGAACAAAATTACAAATATAAATTATATATAAAAAGTTTAAATTACAGTAAAGAAGTACTCACGCGATTTTACACAAGGAAATTCTTACATGCATGTTAATAGTTGCTAATTTCATAAGCAAGGCTTCAGAACTGGGCCAATGCAGTAGTACATTGACCCAATGAACTGATTCACTAGAAACTCATAATATACGTGTGTTCATAAGTCCAGTCCTTAATTACATACATTTTTTGTTTCCACCGCAAGTTACAATTTACATTAAGTAGATTGTACATTGTAGAAAATTTGACATTTGCCACCAGTTTCTTTGATTCTATTGTGAAGATGGTTCATAGAAGGAATTGTTTAGTAAGCAAATTGGAAGTTTATTAGGTTTTTTAAGTTCTGTTTTAAGAAGGGTAAACCCTTAGGTAAGTAAATGTAAGTAATTAACAATCAAATAAAGCAAAATATACTCTAAAAGTCTCAACTTTTGGTTACTTCATTGAATAAATAATTTTGGCTAAAACTGTTCTTCATAATAGCACCCCAAAAGCAAAAAAGGACCTTTCAACTACCATACTAAGTTAAAAACCTAGTAAAATCTGGAATCCACAAACATTAGCAGCCAGTAGCCACCAATGAGGTGGTACATATAACTTTTAATTATTTTAATAAATTGAAAGTGATGGCAAGAGTAACTGAATAACCAGATCAACTAGAATACATTGAAACATCACCATTTTATTTTCTATCAAATATAAAAAATAACATCTTAATTATTCACATAAAAACTTAATTATTGCAGTCCTTTTATAGAAGTAATGTTAAATGGGTAAGGTGTTGGAGACAGATGACTTGAACATGCTTCCGAAGAATCTCATGCCAGAGGAACCTCCAGGAATGGAGCCCATCATCATCCAGAGTAGGGCGATGACTTGCAGCACTGCACAGACTATGGTCCAGGGTGTGCTTTGCAGGTGGAGGGCACAGTATAATGTGGCTATCAGAGTCAGCATGTAGAGGGATGTTGTAAGTGCCCTCTCTTTACTAAACATTGACTTCAGGTGGTTCCATGGACCATAAAGGAAGCTGAAACTGTTTTTTAAATATGGTTAGAGGTTGTAATAATAGTTGTATAATGATTTTTATGTATTCATAATTCAAAAAAGAGATTTTCTGTATCATATTAACTTGCAAGTTTCTTTCTCATTCTTGTCATCAATAGGACACTTAAGCTCCATCATTAACATTAATTCCAACTAACACAAAAATAATTCAGGTACTTATGAAATCTGAAATAAACATTTCAAAAGTATCTACTAATAATGATAGCCCATCAGTCTGTTTATCAGTGAAGCTAGGTGCTAGTTTCAAATTGTAAATTCAAAAGGAGAAGAACGAGCAAGAAACTATGCTGGTACTCTTAAAAATATGTAATATTTTTTTGATGTCATAAAATTGATGATTCAATTTAAATTTTATGTCTTTTAATGGAAGAGTAATCAAAGAATTAAAGTTATTTAATTACCTGATGATAAAGAACATGCTTCCAAGAGTGAATAGTAGCGCAAACTTGCGAGCCTGCAGCAGCAGTATAGGTATATACAGGAATGACAATATAAAACATAGCACTCCAAAGAACAAACATATACCAAAGCCCATAAATCGCTGTGTTCTGCTCTGAAATACAAAAACATTCAAATGTTTATAGTAAATAATTAATATCAGAACACTATTTGCTACATTTCTTAGCTGATTTGTTTTCAACAAACTATGGTTGGAGTGTTACTTTAATTATTAGTGGCTTGTAATGAGTACAATTTCTTTGTTTTGGCTAATTTTTACAATAAGTATACACTCAGTCAGTAAAGATGCAAAATATAACTTGTTTGTGAGTTATGAGATACATAGCATTGACCTAAATAAAATGATAAGACCACAGCTTTACAGAAACGTTGTATAATGATGTAATTAATAGAAATGGCATTGTATTGTTTGCATGATTCATATCGTAACAGAATCGTATTATTAAATTCAGAGTTACTTACTAGAGTGAAATATTCCTTCTGCACATTTTCAAACCATGAAGCGGTGCTGCTTGCAGTACTTGGGCTCTCTTCCGTACTCCGAGTCAGAAAACTTGGAGTTGAGAACGATGGTAAACTGAAATTGTAGCTGCGTCGACTTTCATTCTTCAGCAAGTATTGATCTAAATCTGTTTTCAGGTTCGCCATTGTTACTTATATCACTTTGGTCCCGTTTTGTAGGTTTTAGTACATTAAATTAAAAGTAAAAACGATTTCGACAATATTTTCGAAGTAGTTATTGTGGAAACACGGCCCACTTCCTTCTTTTCGTTGAAACAAACGTCAAATTACGAGAATACAACGTTGACAGTGGACAAGTTGTCAGATAAAACCATAGACTCAGTTATTAGTTTTTTTTTTTTTTTGGAGTTTATGGCCTGGATACGAGTCCTTTAAGCCAATCAGTTATTAGTTATTCGGTGACGCGCATGCTCCATTTTGATAACGAGTCGATTCAGACAAATTGTTTTGCTTTTTTTTAATAGTGTAATCCTTACTTCAAGAAGCATACTATTATAGTATATGCTGCATGTAATGATTTATTGGTTTGCATGTCAACTTACCGTAATCTGTATCATCGCTGAAGTCATCATGTGCGTGTCGACGAACGTTGTTATTATATCGGTCATGTGCGCAAGGTGGGCAAACCCCTCCGGTATCACGTTCATCCAAGTCAGTGCTGCTAGCATCAGATTCTGCTTCTGCTTCCTCAATGTGTATGTCATCTGACTGTCTGTTGTCAAGCTTCTCATTTGATGATAACTGGTTATAATTTTTTCGCGGTGGTCTTGATTCTGAAATAAAAAAATGGCTAATATCACATTTATGAAATAAAATAATACTTATTGTCATTACACTTTTAACATTTTGAGTTATTTTTCGGATACCATATAACTCTGACTTACAATTTTAAAATCTTGTTAGTGACAGTTTATTGTTATTAAAGTCTTGGTTTCATAACAAAAACTGATTTAGGTATCTACTGACAAACGTAGTATTTTGTCAATGTAATGGATAAGCAAGATTTCCTTTAGGGCCACAAAAATGTGTAAAAAGAATATACAATGTGTTCTGCTTAAAATATTACTTGAAGGGATATCAAATTTTTTAAAAAAATCTTAGAAAAATATATACCTGTTTAAATGGGCTGGGTGCCTACAAGAACGTGTTGTAGGTAGTGATAATAGGCATTATTGATCCCTTCAACAAATAATGATCTAGGTGGTCTCATTGCAAAACTAAATATACAGTAATATGAGATAGGAACGCCGCCACCGACTAACTCTTGAGAAATGCGCGAAAAAACCTAAGTATATATTTTTTGTTGAATGTGCAACACTTCACCTACACATTTTTATTTACTACATTTTTTTATAAAGCAAAAGTAATGTGTAAGATAAATAAGGCGTAATCAAAACAAGTGTACGGCATATATCATCTCCTTGTAATTATGACTGTTATACAGCCTTTCTCCGTGCCGCTGCCGACGCCATTACTGGCGTGTTTCCCGCGCGAACCTCGACAACTTAATAACTTATTTTATTAGCTAATTTACGCTGCTTGTTCGCCCTGGCTTCTCAGCTATATATTATATTATTTGAATAGTGTAGATACTTTTAGAGAGATTGGACGCACTTTTGGTTAAAAAATTAATTAAGTTTGCTGGAGTTCAGTTCACGTTACGCTTAATAATTTTTGCTGTATATATATATTACCTTTAAAGAGAGTATGATTTTGAATTATTAATTTAATATACCTATTAAGTAATCGTTTTTATCTTATAAAATATTAAACTTATGTTCATACATATACTTTACAATCTCCGGAGTTGCAGGTTAAGCGCAATAAGGTGCAGCGGCTTGGAGCAGGAAGAGGTACGCGGTGGTTTAAATAGTAAGCGATACTCTCTCTCGCTTCTCCCTGGGCGAGAGAAGTCTAATGATGATTTCTTCCTCACCAAAAAGGTTCTTAACGTTCTAATAAGTTTAAGTATATTGATAAATTATGATCGTATTCATTACTAGGATCTTTATGTTGGGTGAATAAAATTGTGTGTTTTGCTCTATTTAGTACCTTTACTTATAATATAATAATATCCAAGACTTAGGTGTTAAAGGAGGACAAAGTCTTGTCTACTAATAACTTACGAAGATACCTACAGGTGTAGATTATCGCGCACTTAAGGAATGGGTGACAGACTGATTACTTATTCATGTCCCACTTGAAGAGAGCGCAATGTCACAGAGTTAGGCAAACAACCTCTAGGGTAAGAAATTTAGGTTGCAAATTAATTATTAATTTTGTAAAGTTAAAACGAGGGAAACGGCTGCGATCTGACCTACGCAATTCAAATGTTCGGGCTTTTGACTAAGTAGGTTTGAACAGGGCATTTAAATAATTGCTAGGGTCTGTTCAAATTGAAGCTAGGGAAACTTACAATGATGTATAACTTCGGGAACAATTTGTAAGCTTTCGGGAACGTACCTACTTAAAGAGAGTATACTCTCTATCTAAGCGATTCCGTTTCAGTAATAAAAGAAAAGCACCTAAATCTTCGCAAGGAGTTTCAAAAACTAAGTGCCATAAAGTGAAGATGATTTTATGCGAAGGTCGTAATTCATTCAGCCTATACCACGAGTAGGCTCCAAAGATTTACGAGTAATAAAGAAAAAAGAGTTCTTTTTAGGTAATCCAGTTCATTTAAGCATTGTGTATCTAAATGGTTATTTCTCTTTGTTCCGAAACACATTAGCTATTAATTCGGTCCCCTCTCCCTCTGCTAGCGACAGCCGGCAGAACATTTGTTGTCTGTGGAACCTGAAGCAGTTATTCATTAGGACCATTAGTTATCCCGTGACCTTTCTAATTGAGAATTACGAGTGTTAATAAGGTCAACCACATACATTACAGTGCGGGAAATTGGCATTACTTTATTATTTACAAATAACTGTGCGATGTATTTGGAGAATATGCACTGGTTTGTGTGTGAAGAAATGTGAAAGTTTGTAAGAATCTATGATCTAAATCTACATATAACGTCGGGACCGAGTTGCTTGTTTGGTACGTAGATAGGTTTATACCATAGAAACATAGGCTGCTTTTTATAAACAAACACGCACTTTAGTGTTAAATAAAGTCATTACTCGCTTAAACAATGCACTGTGCAATGTCACTCAATGTGCTCTTACGTAAGTTACGTACCTACTTTGCTACGAAGACGAGTTACAATATTGCTACGCCGTAGCCGTAGTACTCCGTAGCTACGTGCATTACCTACATATTATGTATACACACATCACCGATTACACTTCTTAGTTGGTTATTATGTAAACTTAAATGAGTTTATCGTCTAGGACACTGGCAAAGGACACAGCGCCCTCTACATGTTACTTACATAAAAAAATAAAGCAGATTAAAATTTAAAACTTTATTCTAATTGATGAGTCTTCATAAAAGCGGTTTAATATCATCTATCTAAGATGAGTACCTTAAGTACTTAATGGAAATATTGGAATTATAAGTACAAATCACGAATATAGATGGGATATCTCCTTCAAACCCAATCTAGGACTACAAAGGATGTAGGCGAGTACTTATAATAAGTAGTTGAAGTACTTATCGCCACTCGATCAGTTTGTATTGTTTACCAAGCCTTTATATAATAGTTTGTTGAACAATTATAGTAGTATACGTACATATATACCAACTTTTGATGAAATAAATTGCCGAGCGATATCATCAGCCTATAAGTGTCCACTGCTGAGCAAAGGCCTCTTCTCACACGAAGAAGGTTACAGCATTATTTACCACGCTTGCTCAAGGCGGATTGGTTATCTCAAACTTATAATTAGAAATTTGTAGTCCAGGTTTCCCCGTGATCGAGATATGATCTCCGGCTGAGCGCGGGTCTGAGGACGGCAAGTTAGAGTAGCTCAACGCCGACCAGAACCAGACCCGAGCGTACGGCACGTAGTGTTCCGCGCGCCTTTAAAAGCCAATAGACCACGACAGACGGGGCCCTATAGGGCTGATTTTCAGCTGGGGTTGCGGGTTAAGCGCAATGAGTCACCGCGGCCTCGGCCCAGAGCAGGAGAAGGAACGGGGAGGTTTTTAGTCAGTAAGAGTCTGACACTCTCTCTCGCCTTACCCTGGGCGGGAGAAGTCATTTGATGATTTTCCCCTGATAATAAAATAAGATTTCCCCATGATGTTTTCCTTCACCGATTGTCAGTGGTGTCTACACAATCATAGAAAGTATATATAACTGGTAAAAAGTTTATATAACTGGGAAAAAGTCACATTGGTATTGGTCAAGTTTCGCACCCGCACCCTAATGCATGAGAAGCGGCGGCGCTTACTAAACCCCAGGCCACCACGACAAAAATGAGCTGAACGAAGCCTATAGCAGATTATTGTTAAAAAGTTAACTGAATTTTTTTACATATTTTCCATTACTAATATAAATAGTTTGGTTAATATTAGTATAAGTATAGATTATTATTGTTAATATATGGAATAATCTATACTTATACTAATATTATAAAGAGGTAAAATTTCTATGTTTGTAAGTTTGTAGTTTGTATATAGGGGGTAATCTTTGAAACAGCTGGTCGGATTGCCAAAATTATTTCACTGATAGATAGCTATAATCTTCCTGAGTGCCATAGGCTATAAAATATCACGCTATAATCAAATGGAGCCGAGCAGCAGGTGAAACCGTGCGAGAATAGCTAGTTTTTCATTTAATAAGAAGTATAAGTTTACAAAATATAACTAAAAAGAATATTGTTTATTTTATATATCTTCTTATATAATCACATTTCTGGAAGCAAATACTAAAATCTCATGTTTGTTTAATTTGAGTGGTAGTGGAGAAATGTTGGGCACATTCCAGCTAAATATAATTACGGATAGGGCCTGCGGCGGGCAAACACGGGGCGCAAACACTGCGCGCCGCCGTTGGCTCACTTTGGTTAGATTAAACCGAGCTGATTGTATTAACGTGATCGCGACGAAATATATGTGATGTGTTTTTGTTATAATTATTGCCAGATTATGTTTGCTTGGTAAACTAAACTTGTATTTAGTTCTTGGGGAGTTTGTTGGTTGTGTCACCGGATTTGTTGTAAGTTTGTTAATGTGCAATGGAAAATAATGTATAGGTACTAATTTGTACGTAGGGTGTGTTTGTAGGGGGTAAACTTTGGAACCGCTGATCGGATTTCCGAAATTCTTCTACTGATAGATAGCTACAATGTTCCTGAGTGCTATAATGTATATATAAAACATCA